GTCGTCCGTTCGTCGGAAACTCCATAGACGACGTTGTAAGGTTTCAAACCAAAACCTAAAGGCCAGTTTCATTCTATCTCCTTCCTGTAAACTTGTATTCTATGCATTCTATATAGTCTCCAGGAAGTTAATTAAACTTTAAAACGGAATTTTGATGCATGGTAACAGACTTTAAACTGTTTGTATGTTTAGGTGAACTGAAATTGTGTTCCTTGCATAAACTATTTTGTTCGATTTTAAATTTTTGTCAAGCAATGCTTGTTGATATTTGAGGAGTATTTAGGATGGTTGGGACTTAATTGAACCCTAAGAACTTTAAAAAAATTCTGGATGAGAGGGTTGAACTTTGCCTGAAGCGGATAAGGCAAACAGGGGAAGTATAAACTGTTTCGATTATGGTTTATGTTTTTGTCAATTAATTCATACTGGAATTGGAGGAGTTTCTAAGATTGTTAGGACTTAAATTGAACCTTAAAAATCTTTAACAAAAGTGGGATAGAGGACTGAAGCTTTGCCGGAAGCGGAGAAGGCAAATAGAGGAAACGGAGAAGGAAAAACGGAGGCTGAGAGAGTGGAGGAGGCTCCACCCTTCAATGGAGCCGGCTCCATTGAAGTGGAGCAGGCTCCACACTCTTGTAGATGCGGCTCAAAGAGGGTAGAGCAGGCTCCACACTTTTGTGGAGCCGGCTCCTCTTTTGTAAATACCCAGTAAACGTATTTCTTTGACCTTTTCGAGATTTTAGGGCTCCAGTGTTGGTTTAAACTTGGTTGGATGGTTTAAAATGATTCAATTAAGTAGGATAACACCCAAGAATGATTAATTCATACTAGGAACTTGTACATCATGAGATTAAACAAATTAAATTTGCATGCAGTTTACGGCTTGGAAGAATTTAAATTGTTTGTCGTAATGTTTAAGCAAATTAGATGGTGGGGTTTTAAATGTTTAAACACTAACCTATTAAAACCTTTAAACAGTTGGCTTATGCTAGGGTGCTAATCCTAAGGGGCATCATAAGATAGCAACGGGTAATAGTCGTGCTGGCAGGAAGGAAGGAGGACTAAATGGCTAGTTGTCTTAGCAAATTAAAAGAACTGATATAAAAGTGAGTGTTAGGATTTTATGCCAATGATATAAATAACATTTTTCAGTTCCAGGAATATTGGTTATGCTGTGGTTATGGACGTCATGTAATTATAATTAGTAGGTTGCATGCCGACAGGATTTGTAGGAATTTTAGTTGCTAGCCTTGTTTTAGCGGACTAAATGGGCTAGTATGGGAATACTTTTGGGGTTTCATAAAATGTACTCCGTGTAGATTTTTGAGTGTCGTTATCTCAGACACAGGATTTATAGTGAGGATTAAAGGGACATCATGTAATTTAAGCATTATTTGACATACCGTCAAGGATTGTGCAGGGTTTGATTACTAGTTTTGATTTAGCAAATGAACTAAACTAGTATGGAGGTGTTTTTGGCATTCTAGTATAATGTGCTCAGTTATAATTCTATTTATCATTATATTGTGCTATGGATGTTACTTGATGTTCATTTGAATGTGCATCATTTATGGATCATATGCATTATATGCACCGGTATGGGACGGTGGCATATCAGAGATGGATTAGATCAAAAAGCTAAGTCCTACCTTTTCATACATAAGGAATGGATTAACTAAAATAGTTAAATTCTACATGGATTCATGTCCTGTCAACTAAAACAGTTGAACGACATATCGGATGTTTACTTTATATTTTGTTCTGCATTAGGAATGGTAGGGATTTAATTAAAACATTTGAATCCTAAGTAAATGTCGTGTCTTGGCAATGAACAGTTGAGTGGTACTTCATTGGTTTTGGATGGAATTTACATATATATTTATGTTACCACGATATAAGTTTGAGTCTCAGGATCGATGGTTAGGGAGCGTATATGCATTGGGATACATCACTGGCTATGATGGTTTGATGTGTGCCCTGCTAGGTCTGCTAGTCAGGTTGAGACAGGCCTGTAGTCTAGGGAAAGTCCTGTAGTGTAGATATATTTATATTTACGGACTATTTAGATATTGCCGAGCTATCTAGGATGTATCTGCATATCGGGTTTATGTATGGATTGTAATAGGTTGGAACTTGCATGTGGGCCTGACCCACTCTTATTTTTCAGGTGTTCGTCAGTACCAGGCTTAAAGCTTGATCGTGTGGATGCAGATACAGACACTCACTCTTCCGATTACTTATGATTTTATTTCTTATTTTAGTTTTGAATTTTAATTCTGTAAATTTATTTATCGTTTGGGATTATTAGGGGTCCACTAGATGGATTCCTGAGTTGTACGGAATTAAAGGTTTAAATTTTAATAAACTTTTATTTTGGAGGTTTTCGTATTTAGAATTCTTTTCAGCTTATTATTTATTTTCTTTTATTTCGTTTGGTGTTCCTGCTTGTTTACATATTGATTGCCTGGTATCCCTCGGATATATGCTCGAACTTGATCACCCGTGGCTCTAGAATCGAGGGGAATCACACTTTATCTCTAGCTTATTCTTATAATATGTCACTGATGTTATTGTGAATTAATGTTAGCGATATTAATTACAATGGGTTTTAATTAATATTTACTTCTACATCTCTTGTATTTATGAATTGAGTTATTCATGTTAAGGTTCATGTTAAGTCAGTCATATTAACATGTCATAACCTTTCATGTGTCACACATCACATAACTCAATTATTTAAGCAAATAATTATCTTATTATTTAAGCTTTGGATACAATCACCACAGAGTGAGCACTCACTTCTCAGCTATAGTTCGTAGTTAAAAGTGAGTTCATAACTATCATTACTAGCTTAGATTAAGTACATTCTTCTCATATCTCACTACTAGGTTATGATGAGCACCCACTTCTTAGCTATTACCGCTAGCTTGAAGTTAAGTTTGTTTAGCTATCAATTCTAGTAGCTCATACCTTTAGTACACACTTATCTAAGTAGTCTATTTTGGTAGTAGAGTAATTTGTTTTGAAGAATATTCTTCAAAAATTACTACTTTACAAGTAGTATTATTCCCTCCTACATGAGCAAATATGATGTATAGCTCAGATACATCACCCTCATGTTTTTTACTATCAAGTTGAAAGCTAGAACCAACTAATAGTTTTTCATCTTCCTCTTAGGTTCTGTGCACCTCATTAATCATTTTAGCTTATAGCTAAGCTAACTAGTTTGCAACTCAATAACATTTTAGCTTTTAGCTAAATTGTACATTAGAGTTAACTAGCTTGATTTAGCTTATCTCGGTGTACTTGCTTAATGTATCTATAATATTTTTCATTAAACTCTTTCGAGTTATTGAAAAATCTTCTCTTATTTAGCCTATTTACAGCTATACGTATCTTAAACACTAGTATAGATCTTTTTCCTTTGAATATCGGGAGAATTGATATAGTTGGACTGGTCAATATTTGTTTGTTGTATTACATACACAAACCAGTCATGAATTCATACAAATTCAATAATATCTCATATTAAATAAATTATGTTGTAAATTTGAATTACAATGCACATTAAGTAATTCAATTACATAGTTCAATATTATAATATCAAATAAAAGTAAACATTTATAAAAATAATATTGAACTTGCATAACAATATAGTTTCATATTATATCACATGATTAATTTAAGAAAAAAGATTTGTGACTCATTCTCCAATAAACATACTAGAAAATCAGGACCAAAAGATTTAGACGTTCTAACCCTCTTGCTACGTCTAAGCTCATCCTTATTTTCATTGTATGCACAAGAAAATGATATGCAATACTGTTATAAGCATAACCTATCAAATATTTTGTGTAACGATTCACTCCACCACATGGTATGATATTATCAACTTTGGGCCCGAGCCTGCATAATTTTATTCTTGGGTTTTATCCCAGAAGGCCTCATACCAATTGGAGATAACACTACTACATAAAAGCACTTCACATTTTCCTTCCCTAAGTGATGTAGGACTGTACACCTATTGTTCACCCAGTGTGGTAGCCTGTCGGTACCTCTTGCACTCGCCCACGGCACACCCACCCACAATGTTGCCACACTTTAGGTCATACTTTAACTTTCTTAAGAGTAGGAACTGTAACCTTAGCTAGACACCCCCACACTTTTAAGAATTTATAGGAAGGTTTTCGACCTTTCCATAATTCATATGGTGTCACATTAGTTTAAGGTATTTTATTGAGAACATAATTTGAGGAAAGAAAAACTTCCCCTCACAAATTTTAAGTTAAACCAGAATTTATCAATATAGCATTTATCATGATATCATGTTCTGAACAAATATTAGCACAAGTGTGTTGATCTTTTTGCCAAGTTGATTCTCAACCTCATTTTTGTAATGTTTAAAACATTTCTGAGGTTTTATATTTGCTTCATAGCAAATATACATAACAGTATCTTATGCAATCATTGATAAAACTAACAAAGTACCCTTTTTGACCTCTCGTTGATATAAATTTAAGATAATGTAATATACTACATCATATTACAAAATTAAAATAATTCAACCAATATTGAATTATATAAATAATTTAATATTCTTCTTATATAACATGCTCAATTTCATATAATATTGAACACGTCACTACAAGAAGTTAGGATTTTAGTGACAGTCAAAAGTGTCACTAAAAGTCCAAAAACCATCCCTAATGGTCGAATATTTCCGTCACTAATTAGAGCGTCTTAAATGATCTTTATGGACGGTAAAAATGACCGTCACCAAAAACCTTGACTTTTAAAGACGGTATGTACCGTCTTAAATAACACTGTCACTAAAACTTATTAGGGACGGTAATTACCGTCACTAATGAATTATATATTAATGGGGACAATATCTACCTTCCCTAATACATTAATTATTATAATTTTTTTTTTTGGTTCTATTTGCACTCTGGTAGGTGTGTATTTTTTCAACTGTATATAAGAAAATAGAAATCCAAATGTTCAACATAAGACAAGATTGAAATAAATCATTATCATCATAAAATGTTTACAACACATAGATATTCAACCAAACATACCAACTCAAATAAACCATCAACCAAAAGCTGAGCACACATTGTTTACGAAATATTCAACAAAAATGCCCAAATGTCTTGAATATTCAATTGACAATAGAAATGATGCTGACTGCCACTTAAAGATGAATGACAATCACTTCATTAGATAAAGATGACCACTTGAACAACTTGCAACCATGAAGCCATGTCCTAACCCACAAGCATATGTTCCTCTAAAGACCGAGCTACGTATGCATTATCTGCACTTCTTTTTTCCTTAGAATGGCGCCATCAAAACTTAGAGCAGCTTGTAAAGATTTTTCTACCATTTCATCCTGTAAATCAGATAAAACTTCTTAGAATTGAGATAAAAGTGCTGACCAAAACTACTAATCATGTATTAACCTACCAACTAAATAACACTATAATCATGATGAAGAGCTAAATTGAAACATATATGTAAAGGCTAAACTGATCACATCAAGGAAATCAGGGCTGAAAGGACTAAAAAGCAAAACAACTCGGAAATTACCAATACGACCGTTAGGTAATTTTACTATATTAAAACATCAATGCATCAAATTCTAGATTACAAATTCTATTATCATCATTAAGTAAATTCTAAGTGATATAGAATTGATTATTTCACCTATCAAATTATTAATACAAACAAGAACACAAGTATTTAAGTAATTCAGCCAAAACATAGATTACGTCTACAGAGTCAGGCATTTCACTATGATGAAGTGCAAAATGAAATTACAGAGTTCATAATAAATAACCACTGTCCCAGTATACTCCCATAGAATTATGGCTACGTAACAAGTGTGAAAAATATAATAATATCACCCAAAAAATTCAAGTCGGCACATAAAGTTGGGCTAAGGTGTACAATACTCCACACTTTCTGTCAAAGCAAACACACACACACACACACACACAAAAAAAACAGCCTTATTTTGAAACATAAAATGTGGCTGATAAAAAGAGCATTTATCGAAGATTAAACACACACACGAGGCAAAGGTGTCATATACAAAAAAAAGTTTCTCTTGGATGTGTTGCAGCTGAAAGAAATTAAAGCTTGTATAAATTAATTAATTAAATAACTTAAACAGTGGCGTTTTGGAGACGAAATTGTTTCTTAACTAGCTTACTTTCTTTTCTTCCAACCACTCTATAGACATAACAGGACAACTAAAATAAAAACACGAAGAACAGAGACTTACATGACAAATCAGAGAACATTTTTTCAGAAACTATGCAGTTGGGTGAGCATTGAAACAAGTTCATCGCTGGATGGTCGATCCGCAGGCAAATCAGATAGGCATGCAACAGCAATTCTCACTGCCATCAGCATCTCATCTTCTTCTACTTCTTCCCCAAAGATACTTCTATCTAATGCTTCTCAGGCCTCCCCTTCTTGTTGCAGATGCTGAAGCCACCGTCCCAAACTTCCCCCAGTGACTGCTCCCTCAAAGAATGGATCCATTGGGTCTCTACCGGTTAACAGAACACCCAATATAACACCAAAGTTGAAGCTGTCACTCTTATCAGTATACCTATTGTGATCAAACAAATAATCAATTACAATAAGACCATCAACAAAAACATTTTAAGTTTAGAAGTTACATTATTAAAGATACAAAGATAAACATCGGTGTATGCCACATTATTAAAGAAACAAATTAAGATACGCATGGTATACACAATTACAAGCTAATGCTTACAAGGTACAACCCCTTCCAAATTACTGCTGCTCATTAATTTGCACAAGTAAAATCAGTATAAACAAAATTTGGAGAAAACATAATTGTCTTTCTGGCAAGCTTCAATTAACAAGAAGTAACTTTCTCATCTATTAGTGATACGCACACATGAATCTTCATATTCACTTTCAATTGATTGCAAATCAGCCATCAAGCGAAAACCAAATATTCTGAATGAAGCACCTATACAAAACCAAATATTTTAATGAAGTACGTTGATCAAGCAATCAGCAAGTTCTTTATTTAATTGATTAAAATTAGTTTCATTGACATATATGTCCACTTCAAAGGTCACCTTTATAATGGATAATTAATGTAAGTTAAAGGAGCATATATAATGTTAAATATATACTTTTGTCCTTTTACTGGAGATAGGGAATTCATGGCAATGTACTAAAGCAATGACATTCTTACTATAGTTCATTAAAAGGAGGAAATCATACTCTGGAAATATGAATATGAACAATACGAAAGGACTAGGTATAACCTTGAATATCAATGTTACAAAAATTAAAGACGCACTGATTTTCAAAATGAATTGTATTCAATGCTTAGGAAATGCCAAGAAATTTCTAGAAGAATACGAAAACCATGTAAAAAGACTCACAGATTTTCATATAAATATATGACCAGTAGACTTTAAATGAGAAACTTAGCAGTTTAAAATATGAGTCTACAATTTTCAACCAAGAAAACAATTCGATCAGTACAATTTCCAATTTAATTACCAATTCATCACAAATTAAAAGATTAAGTTTGCAATAAACAATATACAACTCGGTAAAATTGAAAGCAAACAGATTATTACTAGAAAAACAAATATGAATGATGCACATCTCAAAAACTTGAAGGTCAATTCATCCTCAACAGCCCAAAAACAAAAACCCACCAACACAAGATACAATTTTCGGCTAAGCCTTACAGACTAGTCACAGTATCTATTATCAAGTCTCAAATTGCGACAAAGTTGATAATCTGCTGGGATTAAATGCAATAGGACTAATCTCTCCTATGAGTTTAGGAACAAAATTAAAAATTTCCTAAAACTCACTTAATATAACAACATACGATGAAGCCAAATTTGTAATCCATCTAACAAATATAGCGAGTTAAAAAAGAGAGTAAATAAAGTGTTGATAACAAAAAAATAAAAATAAAAATAAAAATAAAAATGACATGACAGAGACTTGAAGATATTAAAACACATAAAAATAAAAATGACAGGACAACAAAAATAAAAAAATAAAAATAAAAATAAAAGGAGGAAATACAGAGGGAGAAACGAACAGTATTGCAGAGAAAAGAAATAAAAACAAAATAAAAAATAAGAAGAATGAAAAGGAGAGATGAGAGTTCAGAGAAGAAACGAACAGATGGGTGAGATGTAAGTCCCTGACTTCCCTCAATGATTCAGATGATAAGAACCTGATTCTGTAATTTCTCACTTCAATTGTTAGGCCTTTAGGCAATTTTGAAACCCTGAAAACATGTAATCATATTTTACATCTAAATTAACCACCGAAAGATAAAAAGATTAAAAAAAATAAAACATAGGAAAGAAATAATAGATGGATGAGATCCAAGAGTCAACCCAAAATGAGATTGAAGAAGGATTCAATTAGTACCATGAAGATGTCGAACCCAATCGAATGTGCGTTCTCTGAAACAAAGCCCTAGCAATTGAAAATTCTTTGAAGGACCAGATATGGACGAAGAATAATGAAATGGGTAGTTTGAACACACATTTAATGTTTTGCAAAAAAGTATCCATGGTTCTGACACCGCCACGTGTATCTTCCAGCCAGACAACGCAAAATACAAAATTCTAGCGGCCATATTTTCGGGGGTTTGGTGACGGTATTGGACATACGGTCCCCAATGGCTAAGTATTAGTGACAGTAGAATTTTATTGTCCATACTACTTTTAGGGATAGATTTTTATTGTGTCACCGAAAGACTCTCACTAATAACCTGTTTTTTTTTTGTGTTGATGCATATTATAGTATAATAATGTATATAATATTATTTTATTATATCTCAAGCATTAATATAATATTTATTTTTTTATATTTGAAATAGAAGCATATAATAAATTCTACGCAAGGAAGAATCTGTCTTAATATTGTTCGTAAATATATATTTTATGTGACATTTAAGATATAACAAACCTTATACTAATATGTCATGAGATAATTAATAATATGCTAATAAATCATTAATTAAATATGTAATTTTATATTTAATTAAATATGCAAAATAAAGTAATAAAATAATAATAATAAATAAAAAACCTGGACCGAGACTAGTATTGGATACTTTGTCCTTAAGACAAATTCGTCCCGCTATGGTGCTAACGAACTCAGTGGCGTCTGTCTCCCAGGAACGGTCTACATCCACCAGTAGCAGCACTACAAACTCGTGGATACGGCGAACCTTCTCCGTGTAATACTCTCTCTGATTCAAAAATGCACCTATACTATATAAATGCTGAATTGGGTGCAATCTGAACCAAATGGTTCAAACTAATCTTAATATAGCTCGATGAAATTGGATTAGGGTCTAAGTGGTTCGGACCACTTTACCTATGGTTTGAACCTACTTGGGTTGGGTTCAAGTCTAAGGAGGGAGATAGAAGAAAATAAAAATAAATGATTTGCAAATGATCCAAATGAGGGTATTTATAGGCAACAAGGTGCCTTTTTGGGTGGCTGTGTCTTATCATCATTGGACACAGCCATATTTACATGTATCTCTTCACACTGGACACATCTATTCTAATTGGTTGTAATGGTTCACATGGTGTCTGTTCACCAATAGACACATCTATTCCAATAGGTTGCAATAGTTCACATGAATAGTTATGTCTATTGGTTTTGAGCTGCAACCCTTTAGAAACAGATGCAACTTTTTGAAAAACAGATGCAACCCTTTAGAAATAGATGCAACCTTTGGAAAAAAACTAACTTTTCATTTAAATTCAAAAATCAACCACCCATTTAAATAAGCCCTGCCCAAAATTAAATGCCCAATCTAAGATTCCATTTAGTAAAAAGAATACTTGGACTTTACAATTAAGCCCAAGCTCAAGCCAAAATTTGGTTTATTTAAAATTCTAATTGGTTTCAACATTTTTTCCATGTGGGAGAAACACTTCCCACATTTTGCATACCCATTTAGGCTTATCAAAACACCACACTTTCAAGCTAAATTCTCATTCACCCGGAAACGGATTTGAGAAAGTAAATATACCACGTTCATCTCCTTGTGGAGAGAAACGCGCTTATTTAGAGATCTGTAAAAAATTATTAGCGGAATCTGATAGGGATAAATAACCTACCTTGACCAGCCGCCAAAACCCTTTGACATATTCCGTTATCAGAGATAAAGATTTCTATCGGATAAAAATGATGACATTTCTTATCCAGGATAATGAATGACGATGTGGTTCAACAGGGTGAGGATAATCTTGGCACAATTTGAGAAAGTCAAAGGAGTAAATTATATCCCCGACAAATCTGGCAACAAATGATCTCCTTTGATCTCGCACAAGCAGATCTCCCGCGGGACCAATTTGATTCCAATCGACAGGCATAAATATGGGACCAAGCCGTTAAAAAAGGTACGAGAAAAAAACCCCTAGAGAGAATATACATAATTATTATGTAATACGATTACAAGTACTAACTTGATCATCAGAGGATCCTCGGCTGGCACCTCACCGGTGCCATTCGAGATGACGTCCTTTTATTTTGCAGGTAAACGCCGCCGTTCCGAGTCGTGAGGATTTTCGCATCAACAATTGGCGCCGTTTGTGGGAACGATTAGTTCTCTGAAGAAATAATAATCCTGACGCGACTTGGCTCGGACGGAAAGACGACAGGTTCCGATCATGAAAACCATCCCAAAGTCATCAGTTTATAACGGGTTTCCATGTTCATAAGGACGGGTCTCTACATCATGATTACCTGTCCATCATACTGGGGGCAAAACGGTGGGTTGCATGATGCCACCCAATACGATGACAATAATCGCAATTTGGCACATCGACCCAGGTAGTCCAACGTGATGTTCTCCATCTAGCGATGCTTGGTCCCTTCACTACTGAGGTTCAGTCGTCTAAGATTAAACTCTATCTCATATCTGGTAGCAGCCAACTACCAAGGCCTGATCATTGAAGACTAAGGCCTGGTCCTTTTGCGCCTACATAAATGAGTTGGTCTTCACCCATCAAGAAGATTACTACCAACCAGGAGGTTTCTACCTACCATCATTTACCACTAAGGATGTCTCTAGTAACGAAGTCTCATTACTCCGTCCGTTCGGGCAATTAGGGTGGCATTCTACGCCCAAGAATGTATCGAGGCCTTCAGGTCCAAGGGGGTCTAATGTCCCTCCAGATCCCATGAGGTTTGTATTCCCAAGGAGGTTCCTAAGTGAAGGGAGATCATTGGACCCAACGAGGTAATGGCCACCAGACCATCATCTATCAGCCGTTGGGTATTACGCCCCCGTCCACCAGGCAACAGTCGTCACCTCTCTTCCTTTGCAGGACTTGCCTATCGACTTCAGATCATGCAAAATTTTGGATTGATAATCCATTGCAGGTTAATTTTCAGTAATCATTTCTAACACAATATAATGTTTTTAGACAACTGTAAATTGTTGCAGCACCAGACACCCCATTCGCTGTATAAACGTCTATATCGGGGGCAGAATAGTGGATCACACGATATTAATTATCGATCTACATATTAAGGGAAGTATGTTTTATCGTCGCGGTGTCGTATATAATTAAAGCTTTTTTCATCTGCTAGAGAGACAAAACGACTACATCTCGTATTAAAGGGGTCACCCTCCTTCAGACTACACCTATGTCCCCCACAAGGGATACAGTCGATGATAATGAGTGTCCTGTACTACAAGGACTCGAGCTGAATGAATCCCGTAATCAATATTCCCATACTATAAAGGATAGTAAATGAGTGTCTTGTATTATAAGGACCCGAGCTGAATGAATCATGTAATCCAAATCTCCGGACTATAAGAGATAAATGTTATGTATTATCAGGACCTGGGCTGAATGAATCCCGTAATCAATATCCCCGTACTATAAGGGATAGTAAATGAGTGTCTTGTATTATAAGGACTCGGGTTGAATGAATCCCATAATCCATATCCCCAGACTATAGTGGATAAGTGTCCTGTATTATTAGGCCCCGGGCTGAATGAATCCCGTAATCCATATCCCGGTACTATAAAGGATAGTAAATAAATGTCCTGTATTATAAGGACCCGGGATGAATAAATCTCGTAATCCATATACTATAAGGGATAGTAAATAAATGTCCCATACTAAAAGGACCTAGGTTGAATGAATCCCGTAATTAATATTCCCTTACAATAAGGAATAGTAAATAAAAATCCCTTACTAAAGGGATGAGCTGAGTAAAGCTCATAAAGTTCAATTCCCTTATTAAATGAGTGACAATCCGAGTAAAACTCGTACAATTTATTCCTTTACTAAGGGAAGATTACCCAAGAGTACCAAAAATAATAAATAGAGTAAAAATAGTACCCAAGGGTACCAAAAATAGTACCCAAGGGAAGAGTACCCAAGGGTACTAAAAATAGTACCCAAGGAAATATTGCCCAAGGGAAGAGTACCCAAGGGTACCAAAAATAGTACCCAGGGGCAGAGTACCTATGATACCCCTCGGATCCGAGACACGGGTTGATCAAGCCCAGGCCCAAACCCGAGAGAATATTAAACAATTAATATTTTAAAATGAACACAGAATATAAAGATTTAAGAATTTAAATAACAAAGCTGAAAGAATTATGAAATATAAAATCCTCCAAAAAATACTGAATAATAATACTCCAATTCTCCAAAATCTCCAAGAGTATAACTTGGGAATCCATCTAGTGGACCCCTAAACAAAAGTCCCAACTGAACTGAATAACTGAAAATAAATCAAACTAAAACATCGAGAGAAGTCCTACGTAAGCAGATAAATGATCGACTATCCTCGACAAGCACAATCAAGCTCTAAGGTTGGAACCGTCCTGTACCTGAAAAGAATAAAAGAGTAGGTCAAACCCACGAACAAGTTCTAATCTAACTGCAATCCATACAGTGACCCGATATGTAGATACATCCTAGATACCTCACAATAACTATCTAGTCCATACATATATATATCCACACTAAAGGACATTCACTAGACTACAATAGGGGTCTCAACCTGAATAAAAGGTAACATGCGAAAATGCACCCAAATGTGGGCATGAGTACCTAGACCTAACATGGTACACCTCAACCTATCATAGCTAGCTACGCATCTACTACATATACGCACCCTAACCAACAAGCCTGAGACTCAAGCTCATCTCGTGGTACCATAACCATATATCTAAAGTCAGTCTAAAACCAGAGTATGTCATTCAATTATTCATTGAGGTGAAATACAATTCATAATCCAATCAGTCACTCAACTTATTCAGTTGATATAACTTAACTATCACTAAATAATGCAAGAAGTCATTCAACTTAGTCAGTTGATCTGACTTAAACACAATTGGGATTCAATATTTTACAATCCATTCCTTTAATCCGATAGGTTAGGTCTTAACGTTTTGAGCTAAACCATCCCTAGTATGTCACCGTCCCATACCGGTGCATACAATCCTCCATATCCATGTAAATTACAACACATAAATAATAGTTTAGCAATTTACAGTCCAAAACCATTATCGAGATAATTGCAGAAGAGTATTTAATATTTCAGTAATTAAAATCTAAGCGTTAATCCATGTAATTGCGGAAAAGAA